TGCTCCTACACACACACACACACACACACACACACACACACACACACACACACACACACACACAGACACACAGCCACAAACTGTATTAGAAGTGTTGCTGTTAATAATGCATGAGTGTGTCTGTGGTGGTGGAGGACCGGTGTCTCGGACGGCGAGCTTTAATGAAGTTGAACGTGTCTGCCTCACTCCGCTGCGAGAGAGTCATGAATAAACATCAGCTGGCTAATTAAACTCAGCTCTGGCAACTGTACTCATCAGTAAACAAGCGGCAGCGATCGAGGGCTCTCGCACACGCTCAGAGGGACTTGTCGGAAAGGGAGGAATTGGTAATACCAGGCCTTCGCTTTCTGTGAGTACAGTATACAGACTCTGGAGAGCAGGAGAGAAAAGTGAAAGGAGCAGAGAAGCATTTGAGTAAAAGACAGAATATGACGATAGGAGAGAGGTGCTGAGAGAAAGGGATGAGAAAAGGCTGCATTGTTTGACCTTATTCTCATTTTGAGACTATTTCAAACTCTGTTGTCTTCCCTTCGTATCTTCTAGTTATCCTTTTAGTCCGTTTAAATCATCACGTATCAACAACCAGATAAGTTTGTTTGTCGATAAACTGCAATGAATTCCGCTTTTGCATACTTTAAATAACGATTTGCATCCTCTTCTGTTTCCTCCGCAGCCTGCAACTGCAACCTTCACGCCCGGAGGTGTCGCTTCAACATGGAGCTGTACAAGCTGTCGGGGAGGAAGAGTGGAGGAGTCTGCCTCAACTGTCGCCACAACACGGCCGGTCGCCACTGCCACTACTGCAAGGAGGGCTACTACAGAGATCTGTCCAAACCCATCTCACACAGGAAGGCCTGCAAAGGTACAGTGCTCTGTTGTTGGTTTTTTTGGCCACCTCCGTCATGTTTTATGATCATGTCAGGTGGCTTTTACAGAGGCAAATAAATCGAGCCTTAACGAGAAAAGTTTTTAAATATATATACGTGTTTTGCAAGAAGCCATATAAAAAAACTATGTTACCCTACATATGTGGCGTTTAACATTTACCGCTTTTATAAAAAATCATAGGATTATATAGAAACACACACAAGACTTGCACTCATTACAAGCCACTACTGACATTATTTAGGTCTGAAACGAAACAGTTTTAGATGAATTACAGGAAGTGTGTGGGGGGGGGGCAGCAGCTTTAACATTCCTGAGCCTGTCTCACCGTCGTCTCCCTCTGTCAGCACAGATGAGTTGGTCTGTTGGGATTGGGGAGGTCGCGGCGGTATGGGGCGGCTTTGGGCCGGGCGTTCCCTCATCGACACTCCAGTTATTTGGTTTCATTCGGGCGGGTTAAGGAATGACAGGACAAGCAAAACAAACAGAGCCGAGGTGTGAAGTGATCCCCGGGCAGGTCAGAGACGAAGATCGGTTGGAGGAGGCTGCAGAGGAAAGGAGGAGAGGAGGCATAGTCAGGTTGAGAGAGTGAAAAATGGGAGGGAGGTGAAGAAGAAGGGGAGGAAACAGGAGGGACAAGGGGAACACGCCCCCACGCAGGTGTGCTCTGCGCTCGACATCGCCTGCCATCAGCCCTCACCGCATACTGGTGAGGGTCAAAGAAAGAGGGGAGGAAGAGGAGGAGGAGGTGTAGAGGGGGGAGCGGGGTGATAGAAAAGAGGGTATGTTTTCTCACCTCGTTCTACCGCTGCAGGGAAAAGATAACAGGAGCTGAATCCCTGTGCAAACAAGCCCAGAGACACCTCAGAATGTCGCTCCGCACAAAGACACACACAGACACACACACACACATGCATGCAAACCTGACTGAGGGTTCACGGGAGCCCACTTCCAAAAGGCAGTGCACGAGAAAATATTAGCTTCCTGTTGGGAGTCGGTGCCTGAGTTTTCTCACATCATTCACCAGGTAGTAAATAAAGAAACTGACCAATCAGTCAGTTTGACTGAAGACACGTCTGAGGAGTCACACATCTGCCAAAGGAAAAAAGAGTCGAGATGAGAAGCTAATCTATCAGTTTGTTTTCCCCCTTTCCCTCGCTTCCAAAAGTACATTTTTTCCCCATGATGCCACACCGAGTGCCGCCGTGGTACAAACATTTGTCAGAAGAACCTCACACACATTGCATCGAGTCTCATTAAATTCCAGACGTCCAGCAACCATTTCCAGCGGGTTTCGTTCTCTGCATGCACACAAATCCACAACACAAAGCCCCCCTGACAATTGCATCCTACTTCTTCGCCCCTGCAGCCCGCTCATGAGTGATACTCCTAAACTGACATTAACACCTTTCCGTGGCTTTGGGCCCATTCTCCTGTCGAGCAGGAATGCAAACAGACATTCATCACGCCGGAGCGTTGTGTATCATTAACCCTTATCCTCTGCTGTGAGTTAATCGTGGAGATTTAACCTCTCTCTCTTTTTTGTTGTTGTTCATCCCTTCTCATGTGTCCGAGACTTGATTCTTTCAGCATCTCATAACTCAGTTTCATGGGGGTTTGTTTCTCACATGGAGAAGTTAGATTCCTCAACGTCTCTGTAGACATCAGCGATATCTGTTTCTGTGCATTTGCAGACAAAGGATACAGATGACAAAATATTAACACAGAACACAGAAACATGATCCTAAGTAGTTAGATGTGTAAATACAGCAAGTGTGTGCATCACAATTTGAATTCATGCCTGTTAAATAATGCTTAGACCATGGAGATGATTCAGCATATAAATGATGAATCCAGTATATCTCCGAAGATTACATTTAATGTTTATATTACTTTTTTACCAGTGTTTTTTCTCAGTGTCCTACCAACTAAAATCTTGTCTAAGCTACGAAGAGTTTTTTTTTTTAATCTCGGCCCACATGACCGTTTTACAAAATATGTCCGTCCAGACGAGGCAATAAATTCTACATCTACGATCCGTTAAAATACCAGAGAAGAACACTGTGCTCCATGTAGTATTGGGCAAGGCACACACCTGTACTTAGATGTTGCAGTGCTAACCAAACTTGAGCTGTTTTCAGACATGACCACCGGGTAAATTCAGGAGAATTAGCGATATAGTTTCCACAGTCTACCTTTCACACATGCACAACACAGCAGGAGGTTTACTGCACAGACGCGTTCACAGTGGGGGATCCCCTGCTGTGTTCACACATCGGATTCTCCTGGATTTCTACGGACTTTAGGCCAGGTGGATAAAGTCCGTAGAAACTGCAGAGCGTCTCACTTAGACAATTGTGTTTACACATGCATCTCCTCGGGAGAAAATACAGTCCAGTGCATGTCTGAAAGCAGCTTTAGAGAAACCACTATAAAGCTGCCATTGTTGTCTCTGGCCCATGCTTATTACAGTTTTTGAATATCTATACTTTGGAAGGTGTTTGTAAAAAGTGGCTAAACATATTGTGTGTGGACAAGAAAAAACTCAAAGGTTTTCTTAGCATTAGTGTGGATAGGGCGTAAAACAGACAACATTTGGATCAGAAGAGGAGAACAAACCCATTAACGTTTCCCACATTTGAAGCAGAAAACATGAGTTAAAACCTGTTTGTTTAAACATAAACAACCTGTCTGCACCAAGAAGAATCAGTTTCCATAGATATGGAAATCTGCACTCTTTCATTTCATGATGACTAATTTGATGTTAGGAAATGAGTCATGAAGAAAAAGTCAAAAGCTGTGAAAAATGCACCTGATGTGACGTCTGGAATGAAAGTTACCCTGTGTCATACATCAGCATCTGAATATGTGGGGCTGACTTTATATTTAATGTGTGTGAAAGTCTGTTTTGATAAGTAGTGCTTCTGATTCTGTGCAGGCTGCTCGTCTCATCATTGCTTGTTTCATGCAACATTCAGTCACTTTGGACCATATTCAGGCTTTTTTAGTTTCCAGTTTCATAAATATGAAGTCTTCCTGGTTTACATTGCTCCTGATTTCATTCATTGCTCTTTTGGATGAACAATTTGCCATTTTTTTCAATATGGCATCATTTAGACTTATTAGATTTATTAAATAATCGCTAGCGTCATCAATAAAGAAAATAGTGATTAGGTGCAGCTTTAATTATCACTCTGATTAATAAAAACAATGTCAGTGTGTTACGTCAGCTCCACAAACCATGAATGTATTCTCATAACAATCAGATGACAATAGTATTATTGTTATTTGATAATTACAGCGCCGCAGGCTCATAGCAGTAGTGTAATCATAAACTGAATCATGTCAACCACACCAGAGACTCACTTCTGACTCCCTCACGTTCTCTGCTGCCTCCCAACCAGCTGAAGTGTAAACACGTTTCATCATCATTTCTGAAATTGTCAGCTCACCCAAACGTTTTTGTTCAATTTAATCTTTGAAATTACCCAGAGTGTTCACGCAGCTCCCACCTCTCGCCGGCTGCAGAGCGAACGCCAAGTTCTACCGAGGGATTCAGTTACATCAAAACCCAGCTACAATAAAGGCTTGTGGTAATTACCCCCCCCCCCCAGATGACAATTGATACAAAGCATGGACTGTTTCTTTAGCCAATTAAAACATTTTTGCAAACTATATTTGGAAATTTACAGGTGACGACTTCAAGGATGTGTGTCATCGTATTACATGAACCTAAAGTTACTACACAAACAGCTTTAAGCCAGATTCTCTCTGCTTTATCACATCATAACTCAAGTTAATTCAATGAAACCTAAACTATCAGAACCAATGTCTATCTGCTCCCCAGGCGACGTGAGCACTGCAGGGACGGCAATTAAAGAGGTTCGGTTATTTATTGAATTGAAAAGAGAGAGAGGGGCCTTTCGCTGTGCGCTGTCGGAGCGCGGGCAGGTCGAGGAGCACAAGAGTTTGCTTTTATACGTGTAATACAATCCTCCACGAAAGCAGCTCATTTCCATAGGGGCCATTACGAGTGAAAGAGTGCAGCGGCTCATCCACCGCAGAGAAGGCCGGGCCCGGTGGCTGCATTTACAAATGTATAACTTCACCACTCATTGAGTAAAGAGTGTAAACACAGTATATGTCGCAGGCGGCTCGTTTATGTGCTGAACTGTTTGAGTGTGTTTGATGAAGAATAGCGTGAGTTTTACTTGAAGAGGTGGTGAGATTTAGACACAGCACAGTAGGTGGTCTTTCGCTACTTCTGACGTGTATCTGAGATAACAAATCCCGCTCTGCACTGATGACCCTGAGAGTTTAATTAACAAAGTGTTATCCCTGTTTGTCACCCTGATTTGAAAAGCAGTGGCAGATTTGGGATTTTCCTTAAATTAGGGGCCAAAAAGAGTCTGCAACTTAAACAAAGGGACTAATTATATGTCCAACATCTTTACATCATAGAATATAATTGAATTAATGAATTGTTCATTGTTACGGCTCATTTTGTTCTTCAAAAAGTTTGGAAAATAAGTGACCAATCTGAAGTGACCAATCAGATTTGAACTGCCCCCAGGCCCCAAACCCTAACTCTGCCCCTTTTTGAATCCTAAAAAAGACATTTTCAGACATAAACGCCTGAGAAAGTCCAGACCTAACTGTGTTAAAATGTTTTTCCTTTCACATATGAACAACGCAGATTCTCCATTCAGATGTGTTCACAACAGCACAGAAATCTCCAGAGCATTCACGTGAGGGGTGGTGCTGCAAGCAGGATGCGGGACATAACGTACTGTTGTGGTGATCACCGGAATAAAATATTTGTATTCTTTTCGTTTTTTTCAGTTTTGCATCCTTCACATGTTCTAAACGTCAGCAACATGCCAACTCACTTGCAGTAAATCCTCCAGATGATCTCCTGCTGCTTCAATGGAAACTCCGGATAATATGCAGCCTCTCACATTTGCTGAGCTCAGTGCATGAAAAGAAACTAAAGCAAAACTTACGTGACTTTCTCAAGAGCCCATGTTGATGTAAAGGCAACAACTACACATGAGATCTTAGTATGATATTGAACGCCGCTCTTGATTAATCCTCCTCATCTAAACTTCATAAAGTCAAGCTTGATTGGCAGTGGCCCTGTGACTGATTGATCGAATTCAAGCCGTCACATTCAAATCTGAACTTTAACCATCGTATAATTGCATTGGCCAGTGGGATGATGAGGAACATATTTTGCATACAGAGGAAAATTAGGCTTTGATTGAGCGACGGTCTGTTTCAATCAGAATAACATGCGAAAAAATCCCTCCCCTCCTCAACCCCAGCATATGTCTCCCATTGACACAGTAGGGTCTTTTTTTTATTGACCACATATAAAATGCTCAGGATTTATATAATATTGTTTTTTATGACTTCACTTTTTAGCTTTGGATTCCTCAGGGCTGCGCCGAATTCAGCGTGTTTTCAATTAGAACACACACACACACACACACTCATGTGTATGTGCTGAGTTGTGCATCAAACATCTTTCGCAAAATAACAAACTCACATCCAACATTTTCAGGCGCTGTCGGTGGCCAAGAACGCAAGTGTTCGGGCCTTTGCAGCCCATTACGCAGATCAATGAAACGTTAAACAACACAACGAGCGAAGACGCACGCCCCCTGTTCGATAAACATGCCTTTTAGCGGAGCTGTTTATGTATAGAGCAACCGCCCTATAATGTTGTCTGTCTCTCTGCTCTGAAAAGACACTCGTGGAGCAGCAGAAACCTAATTATAATAGAAGACAGACTGGAGCGGAGCTTGGCTTCACTCCAGGACCAACTTCTTACTGGGTGGGGGGGTGAATGGAGTGCAGACTTCAAACAACAGCTTTATGGTAAATGATTGGCAGAGTGGCAGAGTTCAAAATTCTCACATTGTGCAATCTCACACTCGAGCCTGACTGTCTGTCTGTGAAAAGGCAGAAAGACATTATTCATTCTTTTTCAAACACTAAGAGATTCTCCGTGTTCTCCCAGTTATACATGATGAATACTTAAGATTCAGATCTAAATTGTTGGGGAAAGACAACAGCCCCCCCTCCTTATATACCCACAATGACACTTGTTATTATAAACTTCTGTCAGTTTTCCTTGCTGGACATGTTGGGACAAAATAGGCCTCTTGCTCCCTTGTCCCCGTATCTCCCTGAACCATCTGGAGTAGCCATGAAGCACAGCACACAGCCACTTAAGCGCTAAGTGGACACACACTTCAACCAGAAACTCTTGTCCCCCCCTTCCCAAGTAAACCATTACTTTAGCCAGCAGGTGGGTCATCTAGTCAGAGAGTCAACCGATCTGTCATCTGACCGGACAGCGAGTCAGTCGCTGAGCCTGCAGGTCGACGAGGAGGAAGATGAGAGGGAGGCTTCCCACCTGTATACCATGTGCCGTGCACCTTGATTTACTGGCAGCCTTCGAGCCTCTGAGCTGTGGTTACGTGCAGATGCTCTTAAAAATAGAACCCGAGCTTTCTGAAGCGCCGAGCAGAAATGCACTTTGCCCTCCTGTGCCTCAAACTCCCCCTGACGTTCTCCGAAAATGTACAGGCCTGCGGACGTGCTGGGCTGGCCTCCACACTGTTTACTGGGCTTCCTGAGACTGCATGTGCGTGTGTGTCTGTGTGTGTGTGTGTGTGTGTGTGTGTGCGTGTGTGCGTGCTGTTTCTCCCACTGAGCTAGACACAGCTAAGCAATGAAAGCGCTGACAGATTGGTCTGATAAAGGTGATAATAGAAACACACTTTTAAGGAGGCTTTCTGTGTCTGATAAGGAAGGACAAGTAGCAGCATACATTCACACACACACACACACACACACACACACACACACTCAGACAGAGATAAGAGCAACAACAGAAGCTGAATCACAGGAAACAGTTCATATAGATAAAAGTGAGAGAGAGTGTGATAGAGTGACCTGCTGAAATGTGCAGCCTCCAAATAAATTCTGGACTTAACCCGGAGGATAGAGTTGTCTTATTGTGCTTGTCCAAATATCTCACGTAACAACAACGACATCGTATCACATTACCAGTTGAAGCGGTCTTTTCCCTGAGGCTTGCTGGACTATGGATCTCACAGACTCACTGATTAACAACCAGAGCAACACTCGGTACACAAACTGTTTGAGTGATCAATGAAATTCACATAAACTGCTATCAAATGTCCAATTCAGTTTCCAGAACTATTCCCAGAGTAAAATGAAGATGTCAGAGTGAACCCGTCTGAGAATATGACAGGAAAGTGTTCCGAAAATTCATAGGGAGAGTTTCTAACACGCAAAGGACACAAACCGGAAAAACTAAAAGAATACAATTATCACAGGATATTAACATGCAGCGGATGGAAAAAGAGGAACCATGCTCGTAGAAGAGGCCCACAAAGTTGTTAACTTGGAAACACAACCAGTTTTTTGGTGATAAGGCTCGACCCAGGTGACGGTGTGCTCTAAATAAAAACACTGTGCTTTCCACTGCAGAATTTATACACCGTGTCCTGCCTCCTGCATGTTCTACCAACAGCCCTCGTCTGAAGTTTCCCAAACATTTTTCTGGTGATGCATCTCACCCGGACAATCTCCTGCTGTGTTCTTCATACTTTGCAAGATGTCCGAACCCAATGTTTTAGACATTTTCTGGAGTTCATGTCTGAAAACAGCTCTAGAAACAGAGCATCTGGATCGGCTGGGTCATTACTTAGATAAACATAGAAACCACAGTAGAAACCTGTGGGTGTGATGTTTGCATAAAGCGTCTCTATTAATTAAAAAACTGCATTTGAATTCACACATTAAAACCTTATTGTATTGTAATGGGCTGACATGAGCAGATTGTTTTGTACTGTGGGCTGAACAGTCTGTGTGGTTAAAAACAGAACAAGCCAAACCACTAAATACCCCCAAAAACCTCAAAGTGCATAACTCATCCCCGTCTCTGAAGGCTTTCAGAGCGACAAGTGACAAAAAGCAGGAAAAAAGAACCTTCAGGGAGGCGCAGCGAATGAACAGAGCCGACCCAACCCCGAGGATTAAAAGTCAACATCACTGGTTTTTCATATAGGACATAAACAGAAAATATAACATGGACTGTTGAGAGTCTGGTGACAAACAGTGTTATGGGCTTTGTAGGTAGTAAAGACGTGATGACAGATTATAACAACTGCTCTGGTGTGGATTAGACTGTCTGGATTTACTGTAAGGACTTTTGTAGAAGATCATTAATTCAACTACCTCTCTGTGCCAGAGTCACAAGTATTTATATTCAGAAACAGATGAAAAGAAACAAGTCTCAGACAACTATTATTCAACAGCGACTTCAGACCTGACAGGGGTTTGGCCGTGATGTAAGCGAAGGGCTGGGGCGAGCAATTGGAAAATGATTACATTCCCGAAGCATATGTGTTCGATAGACCCCCCAGTTTGGGAGGAAGGGTGACACACGTTTCGGGCTCGCGTTCAAAGCTCGGCGTTAATCGGAAACAGGGAATTAGGATTATCCTCCATTATTTTATCATTTGGTAAACATGCACAACCAGTTCTCTTTACCTCACATGCACAGCTGTGGTCCCACAGAGTGCTCACTTACTGGCATAAAGTGCTTTCAGGCCTGCGCTGAACTCCGGACATTTTACAGAAATCTTCCAAAGCGGCTGTATGTGAGAGTGCAAATGTCTGAGTCAGTAGCTCCGGACATTTTTCGGAGCGTTTCTTTGCAGTTCCATGGTTAAATGTCCGATTGAGCCCATGTGAGAAGACTAACAGGAAAAGGTCCAACGAAGTTAACCTCAAGCTATTCGGCGTGTCGGTGACTACACGTACAAATACGTCAAGATGAAAAAGAGGTACCGTACATGTAAAATCTGGTGTCACTGTAAACAAAAACACGTAGTTTTCAGAACAGAAACTACGTCATGGCCTGCCCTCTGCATGCTGGGAAATGTTCTTCATATGTGAAAAGCGAAATGTGGAAAATGTCCAAACCCCAATTTTCTATTAACTTTCATGTCTGAAAACAGCTACACACACCAAAGACGAACAACACACTCACAACACAGAGAGACACATTGGCAATTTGAGATTTTGCTGATTCAGTAGCTATGCAGCTTTTAATTATGGTAGACGTGAAGGCTGTATGCTAATTAGCCAAACAGCACAAAGTGGCAGAATCTGAAGAAATGTCTGCAGACGATAGACGATGTGTTGCTCTTCAGTGGTGACAACACACTCGCTGCAGAAAGAGCGTTAAGGTGTTGAACATGAGAAAGGTTTGTCTGTCTGTGCACGTCCCCACCTGTCTCTCACCACCACTGCTGCTGTGTACCCACTTGCACTCTCTGTAGATAGCATATGTTTGTATCTCCCCACATGTGTGTGTGTGTGTGTGTGTGTGTGTGTGAGACCACTCACTGTGCCTCTCTTTCTTCCTCTGTTTCCTCACAGCATGTGATTGCCATCCCGTGGGTGCCGCTGGCAAAACCTGTAACCAAACCACAGGACAATGTCCCTGTAAAGACGGCGTGACTGGTATCACGTGCAACCGCTGTGCTAAAGGCTACCAGCAGAGCCGCTCGCCCATTGCCCCCTGCATAAGTATGTGGAACCAGTCTTTACCATATCTGCCTCACCGTAGAACAAATGTGGAAGGGACACACCTGACACTACAATCTGAAACACACACGTGCTTATATAAATCACACACAGTAACAGCAGACACTCCTACACTGCTTAAATCCTCTCATCTTTTCTTCAGACAAGTTCTCAGTGTCGCCTCCTGTTAGATTTAGAGATGGCGTTCGGTAAGCTTCATTCAAAAAACAGGTTATATTATATCTTTGACTTCCTTCCAGAGCTGTCAGCCATGAATCTACATGAGTCAATTATGAGAACCAGGCTCATTATTAAAACTGGCACACGTGGTGACTGAATACAGATGGAAGAAGTTCTGATCAACAACGGCAGCAGCAGGGGACCTCCAGGCTTCAGGCGCAGTGATTGTTTTTGTTGTCGTAATGTCGGCAATTCGTCATGAGTGAAGACCTCATCATGTAAACAAGTCAACAACAGGCGTGCACATCGTTCCACACATTCAGATTTACTTACATATTGTGCGCATTCAGAGAGATGGATGTAGGCTTCCCCAACCCCAGCGGATTTTACACGATCAAAAGACTTGATTCTTTCTTTCTCCCTTCACACATAAACTCTTCACCTTCACACAACTGAAATCACCAGTGATTTGCACCTCTTTCCCTTTTCTTTGCACGTGTCTTTGATACATGGTTTTGCCTTTTGTCCTCGTATCCCCCCTGTTTACTGTGTACAGACTTTTTGACGAGCCCCTCATCTCCCTGCTTCACATAATAACAAAACAATTATACATGTTTTATACTTTCTGATGCCATCCTGCTCCTTTGGAGAGGAACATTCTCAATGCATGGTGTCAACTTCCTACAGTATGAAGGAGGGCCGAGAGAATCAAGTCTTTGGACGTCCAAAATACCAACAGTGCTGTTGTAGTTTAACGCTGCAGCATGGTGCGAGGGTGCAGGATGAAACAAAGAAATAACTTAACAACAGAAGATCCAGGGACAGAGAAGAAACTAAATTAGCTCCACAGAGATGGGGGGTTACTTGTAACAATGGACCATGTCTGTATATGGTGGTTCATGCTGGTTTAAAAACACCCAACTGTCATCTTTTTGCATCATTTTGAGTTTGCAGGCCGGTAAATGGTCAGATGTGGTTGTGGTTTACATTTGTAAATGAGCAGCTTTGACAGTGCCAAAGGTAGAGACTTGAAATTGAAGAATGAGGACTGGAGTGGAAAAAGATGAGGTCACTGAGATCACTTAGTGATAAGGGATAAATTAAATAAAGGTGCAGATGTTAGCGAAAAGATAATGATCTTAACATGAGCTTAAAATAAATCTTTTTGCACTTTGACCCTTTAGATTATACAAATGATTAATTTAAATATCACACCTTTCCTTAACACTGTAGAGAGTTGACACAGAGTTAAAAGGAGGAGACAGGGAATGACAGCAGTCCCTGGTCAGACTCAGACTCATCCACAATAAATCAGAGGGTGGATCTATGTCCAGAGGAGCATTTAATCCCCATATGATCTCAATCCATAGTAACTTGAAACTTATTTTACCCGACCATTCACATACAGTGGGCATGCTGCTGGTTTAATGCTACAAACACAAAGAAACACTAAAAGTGGACCCAAGTGGAACCACTACAGAAACACAATTTGTGAAAGTACCAATCAGGTTTATTATATCTTCAGCCTGCTTTAATACATATGAAAGTTTCTGTCAAGAATCTTGTCTGTTGAAAACATGAGCAGACCAACTCATGGCCACTGACATACTTTATTTTACCTGAATCATTTCTCATTAAATAGACACGTTCACACACCGTGCACACAAAGACAACCAGACTTGTACGGTACAATGTGCGCAAACAATGAAACTGATCTTTCTTTGTGTTTATGTTTCCTCTGGGAGAAGAGATTCCGGTTGCACCTCCCACGACCCCGTCCAGCAGCGTAGAGGAGCCGTCAGGTGAGTAAAGTTTTACATTTATCTATAACCGCTGCTACATATCCACACAAACACATGAGGCCTTTAGTGGAGGATGATGTGAATATGATGGAGGTATATTAATGAATATGGGATTTATGCGATTTCCTCAACCCAATATTTTTCCACAAGTCTAAAAAAAACTGACTGCAGGATAAATTGGATCCCTCTTGCCTTCTCCCTCCTTCCTAGAGCTTCATGAATATTAAATCCATTAGCAGCAACCCTGGGATGTGCCCCCTTTAATCTCTCACACTTTCACAATTAATCAGTCTAACTGCGGCACCGTGGGGTGTTGGTCTAGTGAACAGCATTTGGGGCCGGCAGTTTGTTTGATTTGATTTTTTTTTTTAATCTCCCAAACTCTCTCTCTCTTAGTATGATGCAGTGAAGAGCGTGATGGGGAAGTGGATCTTGTAATATAGTCTGATTAAATATTGTCTTATCTTTAAGGATAATGTCAGGATTAGTCGGGGTACATATGATACTAGAGCTTATTATTTAATGCATCAGTGCATTTTTTAAAATGCAGTATTAAACTTAAATATTATGGACTGGAATATGGACTTGGTTAAATTTCTAGCCATATGTTTGTTATTGTGATACATTCACCTCCGCCAATGAGGTTATGTTTTCACCCGTTAGTTTGTTGTTTGGTTTGTGTGTTTGTTTGAGGGAAAGATCGCACAAAAACACCTCAACAGATTTCTAGGAAACTTGGTGGAAGGATGTGGAATGAGTCGGAGAAGAACCAAACAAATTTGGAGTGAATCACAATCAGGGGGCAGATCCAGAAATCTTTTTTTCACGTTCTTTAACCTTGCTACATTGGACGGTGTTTTTCAAAATGTTTTGCCAGGAAAGAATTGATGGATCGTGATGAAACAGGCATATTTGGGGGATGGGGTTGGCTTGTTTGATTCTCAGCAAGATACCGCAAAAAATACAAAATGGATTTTCACGAAACTTTGTTATAGGATGGGACACAGGCCAAGAATGTACCCAGTCAATTTTGGCACAGATCCAGACAAATGGGCAGATCCAGGAGACATTTTAATAGATTTCCCGAGAAATAATTCATTGATCTTGACGGGAAAAAAAAGTGGTATATCTAGGAGACTAATATCTAGTGTGTGAAATTGGGTGCAGCTTAATTGGATTCATGGGGACTGTTCAGCCTTGCCGGAGGTATGTGCTGTGCTCAGTTCTGTTTTTAGTTGAATTACATGAGATTTACAGTCGTTTTTGTTCAAAACTGTGATGTGATTAAACATAGTAAGAGATTCATACTGCTGATAATTCTATGTGATTTTATGTTATAACAGATAAACTTCACAGTTCATGGTTTGAGTTCTACAAATGTGAAACACAGTAACACAGCACTAACAGATAGATCCTGTTGAAATAAGTTCCGTGTTTTGTCCTACACGGTGGAAAAAGTTGAGTCATATGGCTCGCAGCGTGTTTGCTTCATGTATCACCCATGAAGTGGCAGGAGGCCCGAGGTACACGCATGTGTGTGTGTGTGTGTGTGTGTGTAAGAGGCTCCTGCAGCTGCTGTTGGACCCTCCGTGGTCCCCAGCCTTCCTCCGGACAGCTCAGATTGACAGCACAGTTCAGGATATTGCTGGTCCCCAAACCTCCTCCACTATTTTTCTTCTTTCAGTCTCTTTTTGCTCTCCTCCACCTCCTTCGTCTCCCTCTGTTTCACGCTTTGTCTTCACATAACACTGTGGGTGGTGCCGAGCGAGACTATCTGGAGTTTCTCTGGGCCCCCTTGTCAGGAGTCTGTCCACTTTTGGAGTGTAGGAAATTTTTTCTTCACCTCATTGAGGGATTACTGAAGAAGGGACCCGTATTATTTTATCATCTTAAATAAAGGCACAAAGTTGATCTGCATATTTCTCTGTTCCAACAGAGACATTTTAAATACACAAATATTCTGTATGAAACCCTCTTCTACAGTTCACTGTTGTGAAATCTTTGCCTGTAGCAACATCTTGTAGAAATCTTCCTGTCATAATCCCATTGATTAAACCGTGTCATTGAACAAATGTAAACACAACGTGAAGGAGAGCGAGTACCAAGCTACAGATAATCTAATCACCGCTGAGTGTCCTGGGAATCCCCTCTCATATGTATTACGAGCAGGGGTCTGTTGAAAATAAGCATATTGCAAGGTGGAGCACCTTGATGGAAGTCCTGCGCTGCTCATGTCAGAATTGTGAGAAGCTGAGGGTCCCACCGGACCACCCGGGCTTGAGGCCCAGAGGATGCATACATTACAGTCTCCGCCTCCTCAGAAGGTCGTAGAGCAAACATACTTCTTTTAGGCCTGGTATTCAAACCGGCTATGATATCACCTAATACAGCACGTGATGGAAAACAGATGTGGTGATTGTATCATTTCATTAAACAATAAAACAATATTTTCTGCCTCATCGGACCAGTAGTACATTATATATCAGGAGTATATTATTTTCAGTAGCAGTAGTAGTAGTAGAAGAAGGAGTCAACCAATATTTACATTTCTGTTTCGAATTATTTTGTAGCTTGACATAGAATATTAATTCATTAACTTTGACACTAGGGACAGATGAAAAATCTGTAAACCACAAGAAACTAGAAAGATGGAGGATTGAGGTGGAGAAGAAAACGGTTTGGAAAAAAGATTAGAGGAAGAGGATGCTGAAGGAATGAGGCAGAATTCAGCGATCAATTAAGAAAATGTGAGGAAGGGAACATGCGTGTGCGATGAATCAGCGTGTGTGTGTGTGTGTGATATTAGAGGGTGTTCGGCTGACAGCTGTGAGGCAGGTGTCTCGTTACGCCTCAGTCAAAAAAGGGTGGGTGGATGGGTGGGGTGGTGGTTACGGGGGGTGTGAGGGAAAACGGAGTGGATATTAATTTGTCTCCTGCAGCAGGACTCTCCCCCTTCCGACCACACGGAGGGCTGGAATGCATGGAGAATACCTCCGATGGTGTGGCCCAGACAAAACACACATTGTGCGGGTAGGTCACGGATGGTGTGAGTCGCCACTCCCACAGGTCGTGACAGAGACGTCTGCACGGCAACGAAATGTGGAGGAGATTAACCACTGATGACCTGTGATGGCCACCCCGGCCCTGTCAGGATACACAGGATGTGAAAGTAACTGATGATGATGAGGAGAAGGAGGGATTGGAGTGACGATGATGAGGCTCATAAGGGTAACAAGGTTCAGTCATACTTGTGTGTGTGTGTTGTATGAGGCTGGAAGTGATCACAATTTGTTTCGGACCCCTCCTTGGATTTTTTGGACATGACTCTTGCCTTACACACCCAGTTCAGTGTTCACTGACTCCACCGCGCTTTACAGTCATGTCAGCGTGGGATCTTATTACGCTCTTAATTGTATGAGAGAGTGAGAGGAGACATAATTGTGAAGGACACATTTTACGATACGCTGGGCCAGAAATAGAAAAGCACAGTATCAAGTTCTCATCATCAGCGTAATAATTTTTGCATGGAATTTACATCTTAATGACATAAAAACCTTGGCAGCGTTATTTCCTCTCTGCGAGTCTAAAGTTTGGGTGATAACCAACAGGAGTCCCTGCTGACTCGTCTCATCAAACAACATCTGAAAGTCTCAAATCAGGTCAAGAACTCCAACAGTCTCTTTGCTTGAAAACAAACCATCTTTTACACTGACAATACAATGAAAGAAGAAGAGGTGGTGGAGGGGGGGTTCCCTCTCTTTTCTTTCTCTCTCTTTTTCTCTCTGTCTTTTGTTGGCCAGGACCCAAACTCACAGCTCAGCCCAGGGGCAGCACACTGGGCTCCATAATCTAATTACATGCTTTATTTGCTGCAATTTGTTTCTCAATCAGTGTGGTTGGAGGAGAAAGCCCTCCTCCCGAGCCGTCACTTACACGTCCATGTCTATCTGCCCTGCCGCTGCGGCCACGTTCACACTGTCTTGTATTGAGATGAATGCAAAGTGTGTCTGGATCTCACTGATACATGTTGCGGTTCACACCTGGCTTCGACCACAGTGACCAGTTTTAATCAGACTTCACTCCCCTTGCTACATTTGATTTTATCTGTGAGAGATGCTTCATGGACCCAGCAAAATACTCTACATATTTATATTCAGCTATACTGCTAAAGAAGTGGTTGTGGTGGTGGTTACCTTGAATCTTGGACCATCAGCACCGTTTCTGTCACATCAATAAAGAGGGTGTTTTGTCCTCACTGTCCTGAAGCGTCAGACAAAGACATAAGATCCAGGATCAGTGTTTTCACAGTTTTAAACACTAAATTCCTGCATATACTCGGACAAATTCACAGCAGCGAGTCGTTTATCATTCGTTACCACAATTGTATGTTAAACAGAAGCAAAATAGCAAAGAGATCCACAAGGAATTTGCCCTTGAGCGTATATGATTCATCGCCGCAGTTTGGATGGCATCACATTGCGGCAAAATTTGAGCCTGGTGAATGTTTTTGCTGGAACAGTCTGTGTTTTTTCGCCCGTGTGTTGGTATCCCCACTATGTGGCATGGATTGGGCCACAGTTTATTTGAATGTCGCCAATTCAAATAAATGTGGGGGCTGCATTTTCTCATGCAAGGCTAAAGTGGGTTTGAATAAGTCTTTCTGAACTGTAAAAATATATATTTCCTGGACCTGAATGTTGCAGACCACTCTGACATGAAATGATGTTTGCTTGATGTGCCTCGAAGAAATGTGTCTTCTTTCCTCTCTTTTTTGAATCATGACAAATATGTTGGATGAGCCAGAGTCTACAGGGGTGGGGAACTTTTTTCCTTTCAAGGGCCATTTCATCCTGATGACACATGATCACACAAACCTCTAACGCAATGGATGGAATTGTTTCTCTTTGACGAGACGTCTGATGTCAGATGGTAGTGGTGATGATGATGACACCAGAATCAGCTGGTTTTCCAGGTTTTGGGTTTGAGTCAGTAGCCATTTTCAGACATGACCTTGGCAAAAATGTCCGGACAATTGGGTCAGAAATTCCTCCAGAACATGGAGGCATCTGTGTAGAGCATGCAGAGGGCAGGACATGACGTATACATTCTATTGTAAAAATCATGTGTTTTAGTTTCAAAAGACATCAACACTAGTGTCAACCCAAAGCTCTTGAATCTCATCTTGTAAAATTGTCATCTTCTTTGGTGTCTTCTACATGTATGACACCTCTTTTTGTAGCATATTCTTTTTTGGGTTTTTTCAGCTTTGCATCCATCCTGTTTGCTCGTAGTGAATTTTTCAGACATTATCCTGCTGTATTCTCACTTTTAGCTTTTCTGCACATTCAGCACATGTCTGACAGCAGCTAGTTTTAAGAAGAGCTGCACACTCTTGTCCCAAACAGATGCAGTAGAAATCGAGCAGAGGGAGGTTGTTGTAACTTCAGGCTTGTTTGCTGCTCAGTGATATCACTATGTGGTCACAACAGCTGATTCAACATTAGAAAACATAGCAAAAATGCTCAGTTCCAAACGTGCCACATCAGTAATTCTGCTCGGCAACAGTTCTGACAAACTGACACTTTGGAATAGTTTTAAAATGTCCAGTTCTCGCAGCTCCGCAGTGGCAACAAGGCTCCTTCACAAAGTCCCCCTCCTGAATGTGGTCACAGCGTCGAACCTATTAGCTTGCTCAACTCGTCTGTGTAACATTATCTCTGCCAGATTGTGGTATGAAAGCTGCTTGTTGGGCAGACAAACATCGCAGAAAAACATTAAATTCATCAAAGCACATTTGTTTTTGCAACTTTCCAACTAGAATAATGCTCGACATTGACCTTTTTCATCACCGTGTCCCTTTCTCTAGGAAAGCGTGAGCTTTTCTTTTCTCAACAGTCGCCATGAAGCTCATCAGTGAGGATACAAAGGAGCTACGTGTGTTTCCTTTACACTACCTGCTCCCGACATCCAAACTAATGATTAGGATCAGTCAAAGAACCTGCATTGAATAAACACAAGCTAGTGCACCACTGTATTCCACCCCTTCAATACTGAGAGGAAAGTTTTACTTTCTCCCCCTGTAAAACTGTCTAACATCCGCAACTGAAGCTGCCCAAGGCCTAGCTTGCACAGTACTGTATCCAGTTGCAGGGCAGCTTTAGGAACAAGGATTCAAATGAAAACGATTAGCTTGAAGGGTTGTACAGCACTTTGATAGAAGGGGCAGAGGTCCACCTCTCAGTTACGTACTCCTCGGAGCTCTGAAAAGCAGGAGACAAAGCGCTGTGGTAACTGCGTGTACTCAGAACACCCAAAGCAGATTTTAGCGTGGTGCTACAGGACTGCTCCCACTTCCCCTGCTTGTAACGCACTCACAAAGGGAACATTTGTCCTCACGGTAGGGGACTGCCTGGCCCTAAATGGGGGTCTCGGGGTGCTCTCAGCGGGGCCCAGAGCTGTGTCTCAGGGGTACACTAATGGGGAACGAAAGGCTATCAAAGAGAAGTATCATGATGGCATCAAGGGGGGTTATGAGAAAACAAAGCTTCCTTTCCACAGCTCCCCCCTCCATCATTTACATGGTAATCAGGTGAAGCTCATATACTAGACTCCTCTGTTTCATTTGCTTTGCCTATTTCTGTTACTCTCTCTATTTACTACCACTGGCTTCAGCTTTGTGGCCTTGCTAACTCACTTGTGAAGCTACCGGCCTGTTTTCTTCAGTCTATTTTGGAGGTCTATTCAAAATCACGGTCCTCCTCTTCTGCCTTTTCTTACCACCCCCCTGATAAACTTCACTCCTGTCTTCTTTTTTTTGTCAACCTCTCCACCCCTTCACTCTCTACCAGTATCAATCCTCCCGCCTCCTTCTCTTTTTTTGGGTGCATTTTTTCTTGTGGCATAGTTCCCCAGGCAACCTCATTCAAGCGGAGCATAAAGGAGAGTAAAGGCATAGAGCAAAGATCTGGTCCCAACAATGAAGTTTGTTCATATTCAGGCAGCCTGAAAGCTCCAATCCTTCTTCCACCAGCCCATCACTCTCCTCCACTACTTGCTGTCCATCCATCTTTTCCAACCTCCTTCCTGCCTTCTTTTCTTTTACTACACTTATTCCAGCTTGCATCACCGACGTGTAAAACCTATTCAGTAAACTGGATTCAATTTATGCAAGTTGGGAGAGGGCTAAAGAAGCAGAGATAATAGAAAAATTACTTTTTTCGATTATATGGCCCTCCCTGTAAAGTCGAGGGAGGCTGTAGAGCCTTCTTCACCTCATGTCATAAAAGTGATGGTATCCGCAGATCATCGTGAATCAATTTGAAAAAAGCTGCTTGTGATCCTGTTTCTCTCCACATAAGATTTTGAGTCAGGGAGGATAATGTAAGGCTCCCTATCGCCAATCATGCATGCAATTTGCAAACTTAAATAAAGGTTGTATGTGATTTTTATGCACAGGAAATGTCCAGAGAATAAATCAAGCTGAAAACAACTTAAAGCGCCACTGTAAGGAGTTTGTAGATACACAAGTGGGTGACCCTTCTGCCTGGGTGAGGTATTTGTTCACCCTGTCCGGAGTGGACATGCGCCCCCTCCTCCTTCACCAGAAAGGGTCCTCTGCCTAACACTTCATGGATGGCTAGTTTTCCCTTCCTGACCTCCCTTTGTGTGGCATTGACCTGCTTCACACCCCCCACCCTCTACTCCCTCAAATAGCTGCCAGCCCTCTGTGCTCTTTCCCCCTAGTCCACACTGCAATAAATGCAAAAGCTTGACATGGTCCTCCGTGGGGCCTTGAAGTGATCCCGGGGTTAGTTTTTTCGGGAGGCCGGGTGGGGTGGGGGGCTGAGGTGACAAGCGAGGTGAGATTTGGTGGGAGCTGGGGGTTGAGTTGGGTTGAGGGTGGTCTGCTGAAGCCTGACTCATTCCCACAGTCTGACAGGGAGTAAGTTGGGCAGTGGTAATTTGTATTTCTCAGAAACCGTTGCAGGAGTTATCTGCTCCATACAGAGGTCCTCACCGTCCCACATGTGCAGGTTGTGGAAATGGTTGCAGGGTAAAGTGCCTCTTCCATGGCCCATTAAAGTCCCATCAGACAACATAATCAAAATGTGTGTCAACCAACTGCCCAAAAAAGTGCTATCATCATTATTGCTCTCTTAAGCTGAATCAGCAGAATCCAAAAGGATTTTATTGGAACTCTGACTTTTCCTCAAACTTGAAAAAAAAAAGAAAGATATTGCAGTCTCCTTTAACAAAATGACAGGATTAGCAAGAAATATCCCAAATATTTCATATGCTTCAAACTCAAGGTTCACTGTGGATTTGTTTTGTAACAGTTAATCAAACTCCTGCCTCAGAGAGTAATTTCTACTTCTTTGCCATCTCTCCACATGCAAATATTTTACAGAAAAAAAAAAGAAGTAAATATTGAATGTATGTAAACAGCAGAAATTTACTGTGATCTGTTTTTGAAACTGAGGATAAGAGCTAAACCATTTCAATTCCATCTATGATGATAACTACTGTATTATGATTAATTGCTATGAATAGTTTAACACTTTTCCAGTTTATTTATTTAAACAAATGTGATTTATTTATTCAATTTTAATTTATTTTGTATTATGTATGACAAAAGAATATTAAAACACATTTCTATGAGAATGAATACAAACCTATCAGCCCTGCATGTTATGGCTTTGCAACTTACCCAATGTTGCAGAAAAATTTGCTTCAAGACTTTTAGGTTCCAATAAATGACATTAATAAATAATAAAATAAGAATTCACAAAAATCCTCCCCTATAACTAAAACAGCAACCACATTTCTACAAAACATATTCATTGTTTGTTTCCACCCTCTTGCCTCCTAACTGTATGTTTTTTCTCTTTTTCTTTTTGCAGACTGTGACTCTTATTGCAAGGCATCCAAAGGCAAACTGAAAATCAACATGAAGAAGTACTGCAAGAAAGATTACGGTGAGTCAACAGACGGCAGACATTTAATGACTTTGATTAATGGGCATTTGTACGGGAAATCTTAGAAACATGTGCTCTGATGGAAGAAACACAGTTCTTTTTTTAATGACTTTCCCCCAGATAGAAATCAAAGTTTGTTTGTCATTCTGCCAAAAAATACTTTTCAGGAGCACTCATCTGACTGTGCAACATTTTCTCCCTCTGATTCACTCTGATGCTCTCGTGTATACGTTGCTGGGGAACTGCTGTAGTTTATGGGGGAGGCATTTTACTGATGGCTTACTCTAGCTCTCTGCGGACAGAGACAAAGGATCAAACACAAGACTGCAGATCTTAAAGGAGGAAGAGAGAAGCAGACAAACAGAAGGAGAGAAAGGACAGGATAAAGAATTGGGCTGAGGTGTGTGTGTGTGTGGGAAGGGTTGTTTCTGAGCAGGCATTTAAAGGCCCGAGCGGATAAAGTGGAGGCAGTGTGACGGACAGTGGGTGCGCTCTAAGAGATCCTCATTAAGGCGGCCCACTTCCCCCACTGCCAATGTGTTTCTCGCTGCATTCCTGTGGGCGTCCGTCCGCCACGCTATTCAAGGTGTGGATAAGACGTATGACCTCTCCCCTCTGTCCCCTACCCCGATTGAAGTCAGGCCTCTGAGGCAGTCAACCAAGCAGCGGCATCCTGCAGCATACCTCAGCAGCTTGACAGACAGGCCTGAGCTTTTGTTCCGCAGGGATTTAGAGGAGTTAGTGGGGTCAGCTTATAGACACCTCTTCTTCCACCAATGCCCACCTCACCGCTGATGTCGTGAGAAGAGCCGCGTCTCCGGAATATGTCAGATAGATGGCTGAGGCTCATTTCTCCAGTTTGGCCGAAAAGCTTTCTCGTCTAAGATCTAGAGTCGTAGATAGCAAACAGTAATTTTATCAGCGGAACGTTTATGTCAGCAGCCATGTAACTCCGACTGATAACAACTGACGAAACCCATTTGAGGGTGGAGAGGTGTGGAGGTAAAAAGAGACATCAGGATTTCCTGCTGGAGAAAACATCACTCAACCTAATGCTGAGTACCCTCATACCTGCCAAGAGCCTAACAACTGATTTGACTTTTGTGTGTGTGGGTGTGAAGTGTAGCGAATCTGCTGGTACTGATGTTTGAGATAATGTGGAGTGAAAAACAAATGTTCTCCTTCTGCATGAGTGTTATTGTGTATAGGTGCAGGATGTTTTTAAATGGGGGCAGAGAATTTTAGGGAGTGGACAGAGAAGGGTTTTTTATTTTAAGAATGGGAAGAAGATTCATTTCATTACATTCACCAGGGAGGTTTTGTTTTCACCCCTATCAGTTTTTTTTTGTTGTTGCTTGGTTTGGTAAGCGTGATTATGCAAAAACAACAAATTACCACAAAACTTGGTGGAAGGGTGCGGTATGGGTCGGGGAAGAACTCATTCGATTTTGGTGCAGATCTAGATCAAGGGACATATAAAAGTTTTTTTTTTTACACAAAAGATCTTGGTTTTTTGACATTTTCACTGATTTCTTATGGAATAATTCATGGATCTTGATTTTTTTTAAATAGGCAAATTTAGGGAACTGGTTTCTACAAGTGTGTGCAATTTGTTGCAGTTTGATTCAATTGAAGGGGACTGTTGGGCCTTGGTGGAGGCATGTGTTCTACTGAGTGCCATTCTAGTTGACATTGTTAACAACGTTTATAGAAACAGATTAAATGAGTTCATATATAGAACATCAAATAATTTGCACTATTCTCAAAAGAAAATGTTTATAACACATACAGTTGAACTATGATCTTCATTCAAACCTTTAAAGGGTTTAACAATTTCCTATGATCAGGTTATTGTATTTTGTTTCATTCAATCAATGTGTCCACCATTAGTTTCAAATGCTGCATCACCCAGTGTGTAATCCACTTTCCCCGTGACTTTCACTGAGGGGCTTTGTGCTGGCGACATACATGAGAACCACTAAGCTTCCTTTTTCATATCCATCCATACTTTGCAACAGTATATTCAGGGTTCATAATAAACCAGAACAAGGCTGCACAGTGGTTACCACACGCAAGCTTAGCGAAGCCAATCGAAAAGTCAAAAACCATGTTAATCTACAGGATAAGTCGAGAGAGCCATAGATTTCTGAAAAGATCAGCAGGGGAGCTGCGCCGCACGCTGCCTTGGGGAAGGACGCCACATGCTTCTGTGGTCGATATACAGACGCACATAAAGAATCACAGGAGGGAGCGGGGTGAATGGAGGGGGGGGGACATGTCTGATGTCAGAAAAATGCCAGGGATAACTACACATTCAGGCTGCATCCACTCTATACGTGTTAGTTTCACTATGGCTATGTTCACAACCGCCACCCACACTTTACCAGAGTTTTCGAGCGCCTCTAATGGAGAAGTTTGGAAACACGACAGTGTTGCAGTATCTGCTTCCTGATTGGTTCTTACTACTACAACTCTACCAGCGGTGAAGGTGAAACTCTGTTAACACTGTTCCACATTTAAAGCATATTAGTATGGATATAGTCTCAGCGTCCACAGTGACTACACTGGTAATTGGTGGCTGAATACAAACAGAGAGGACAGCATCAGGTGGAAACTGGTCACACAAGGATTGTGAAAATGATGAAAATGAGTGTTGATAATATCAGAGTGTTGCTCCTTCAAGCACAAAGTCAAACTACTCAGGGATCTGCTGTCTTACTGAGAGTTATATGAGAAAATATCTATTCCACTATAAACTATACACTACACTATATTAACAATATAGAACACAAACAAAGGGAGTGCGACTATCTTCAAATTTAGCGAATGTTTCTTCCTGCGTAATTTCTCGTAAATAACATAGATTTGCTTGTTTAATCTGTGCAAAAATCAAAGTGTAAAAATGACAAGTTAAGAATAAATTCACTATTTGTTGAACAGGAGTCTCATGTTCGTGGGAAACACTAAAGAAGGTTACTGCACCCCGCCAATAAATAAGATATATGTTAACACCAGTCAAACCACAATCTACAGTCTATACACTTTTTGCACAGATTAAACAAACAAGGTTTTTGTTGCTATGGATGGAGCCAGACTAGTCATTTCCCTTGTGTCAAGTCTTGATGCTGAGCTAAGGTAAGATTTCTGCATGAAAGCAGATTACCCAAAATATTTTACACAGAAGATCTGGGAAATAAAACGATACTCTGGTATGTTTTCAGTCTTCCAAGACAGAAGGTTACTGTGGAGGCATTTTTAGATTTTCACCGTTCACTAAGTGCAGCTCCAGAGGGAGTGATCCAAAACGTACAGCTCAGTGTGTGACTTGAATACAGGACGGACACTTTTACATTCTGCCATGATGTTCAGCTGCATTAGCTCCACACTCAAGGTGAAACCAGTGACCCTGGAACACGGTGGTTCGTTTCAAAAAGCCATCCCATAAGCACAGGAGGACTATTACAGAGCCTAATAGAGATCTGGTCAGTATAATGCATATTGATATTTCCTGGGGTGGGATCCATGAGAGGCAGACCTCTCTTCCCTCCTCCTCCTCTCTCTCTCTGAGGACAGTACTGTTCATTCATCATGTGATATCACTGAGTGTCTTTCCAGCTGACGTTTCTAATAGCACTACCCTGCCTCCTAATCACATTACAAATCACACTGCACTGTCAGTAGTAATGGACATAATGCATGTGCAGCTATATGTTATAATAGAATCACAAACCAGCCTTTAAAAATATATATTTTACGTGATGTAAGCATATAGATTTATGTGTTATCAGTATAGTTGATAGCAAATTGCAGTAAAAAGGATGAGACACCAAGTTTAATATTCCCTAAAGAGTTCCTGTTAGAATCATTTTCTTTAATTCATGTTACATGTTTTTTTTTAAAGCTGCTCTCATACAAGAATTTCATAAAAATTGGCTCAGGGTCAGACACGTTCACAACAACAAGACATGATTTACAAGTCGTCTTTCCAAGTTGACCTCTTTGTCTGGGTCTTCTATGTACTGTATGTGGCTCCTCTTTTACATTCTGAGATATTTAGATTCTTCCAGTTTGGGGACCATCAAGTATTAGTAGTCAGAAACTACATCTACATGCCCTCCCGGAAATTTTACAGCTGCACTCGAGCATTTTACGGACATTTTCCTCAGGGGGCTGGCAGGAAAAATTACGGAAAAAGTCCAGAGCAACTGACACAGACATTTGTATTCTAGCCAACTTGCGTTTTATGAGACAAACATATAACATATAAAAGTAATACTTTTAGAAAATGTTTATACCAAATCAAGGCTATTTGAAATTGAAAGTCTTCTGGGATATTGATGCCAGGTCCCGTATGAAGGTGGCACTCGCTGTGAGCCTTGTTCTCTCCACACTGTGCTGTGTGTGATTTCAGCTGCCAGCTCTTGGTAATCTGATGTTTGATTAATGTCCACAGTTGGAAAAAAGTGCCAGTGTGCCTGGAGGAAAAAGAGTCGCTTTCCTTCCATTGTGACGTTTGAAGCAAAAAAGCAGGTGGTTATTAAAAGAATAAAAAAAGCTGCATATCTTCATGTAGGAGAGTGGTGGTTATTACCCCAATAAATATCCAATGACAAAGGAAATTCACTGTTGTGAGGGAAAACCTTGCCTCAGAGAGTTCGGAGCGTATTTGTCTGTTACCATAAGACATGGAAACATCATTGAAATATGAAAGCTTCACAGCATGAAGCACAGAACCACAACATTGTGGGCGAACGCAATGTACTTAGAGGTCTTTGGGGTGTTGTAACCTTTACCACTGACATGCTCTAGATTGATTCATAGATTGTTAGGAAAAGAGCTCTCACATGAAGTGATTCTGAGTCTTCTCTTCCCTCACTGTGCAGCCGTCCAGGTGCACATCCTGAAGGCAGACAAAGCCGGAGAGTGGTGGAAGTTCACCGTCAACATCATCTCCGTCTACAAGCAGGGCGAGAGCCGCATCCGACGCGGGGACCAGTTCCTGTGGGTCCGTGCCAAGGACGTGGCCTGCAAGTGTCCCAAGATCAAGCCGGGGAAGAAGTACCTGCTGCTGGGGAATGACGAGGACTCCCCCGGCCAGAGCGGAGTGGTGGCGGACAAGGGCAGCCTGGTCATCCAGTGGAGGGACACGTGGGCCCGCAGGCTCAGGAAGTTCCAGCAGCGGGAGAAGAAAGGCAAGTGCAAGAAGCCATAGGTGGAAAATGATGGGAGAGGAAGAGAAATTCAAGAGAAAATCTAAGCAGGTGATTTAAGAATAAAATAAAATGAAAAGACGAAAAAGAAGAGAGACGGACAGAGGACCACGGACAGAGAAGAGACTGATTATGTTGCTGCTTTTTTGTGTAGAAGCATGAAGAGAATTATTTAGGATGATTTGTCTTTTCCTAGTGAACTTTTGTTGAAGGAGCTCACCTTGCAGATTTGGTTTTATGGTTTATTTTACTTTGAGATGTGTCTCTCTTGTGGATTTGCCGAATTTGCACCTATTACCAGTATATAAAGTTATTTTGTGTTTGTCTTTTTATTTTGTTATCAGTATGAAATCATTATATTTTATGTTTTAATTTTATTTTAGACATTTTCTGCTGGTGTAAAAATGACACACGAAAAAAACCCCACTTAATAACCACTGCAGATTTGCCTCTGTGCGGTTTTCTTATTGTATCTTTAGCTCAGAAGCAGCTTGTTTTATCTCAAGTCTTCACTGAGCTAAATGAGGCAGAAATATTTCTCAGACCTGTGCCATAAAGACGATTGTAGCAGTGACAGTAGAATCATTTTAGCTGTTAATTTGATTCCCTTTGAATTCAGGTACATCAGCAGCTGAAGACACAAGAAATATTCTGTTGCTGTACGTTTTTATTTTTCAAGATAATTTTGGAGGTGACAGAAAAAAACCAAGAAAAAAAACCAGTATTGACTAAAACATATATGACCTGACTGATTTTAAAGTTATTTCTAATCTCTTATCTGCCCCCTTTCAGATGTCACTGGTTGAGTTTTAGTGGTTCAGTATTTGTAAAACCCTGCATGTTAACGCTTTTAATTTGAGACTGTAACATTCAGTTCTCTGACTGGTGCCACTGATGTTACTTATAAAAAATGATGCTCTTTTTTGGAGGACAAAATGGATTTAAAATCACTGATTTCAACTTCATTCCTTACAATAACTATGGTCTTTTTGTTTTTTAATTTCACAATTTACGGAAAACGATGATCATCACAAAAATACTATGAAAACATTGCAAAAGGATGAGTTGTTCATGATTCTTGTAGGATTTAACATTGTTCCATAGTTGCCTGTTTTATATGTTTTGTATGAATTTTTCATCATTGTTTCTGAACTTGCAGCGTTTTTCTNAATAACTATGGTCTTTTTGTTTTTTAATTTCACAATTTACGGAAAACGATGATCATCACAAAAATACTATGAAAACATTGCAAAAGGATGAGTTGATAATGATAATGCAAAGAATTTCTCTTATGTGGCCACAAGAAATATAGTATTTTTTATTTTAGGGTGAATATTTTCCCTGTTCTTCCACAAAATGATAAGAGCTGTGAACGGTACACCAGGTAGCCCACTGTGGATGTGGATGCCGCATTGAAAACGCTGAGCTGCAGCTGCAGGTGGTGCACGTCCTCAGTGCTGACAGTACTGATAAAGACGTGCATAGAGTGCGTCACAAGTGCAACAATGCAGATGTTTGTATGATTAGTCTTTTTTTTTTTTATCATACCGGCTCATGACAAACTGTTTACTATGTTTAAAAAAAAAAGCATATTTAAAGACAATGTAAGACCGACATCATTTGAACTGACCTCTGCCTCTCGCTAAAGTGATAGAACGTGGATGCTTGTCAAACACAAAATCTGAGGTGAACTTCAACGTGGAACATGAGTAAAATATTAATTTAAATGTAATCAATGCGGTTTGTAGGAGGCTATGAGAAAGGGCATCATGAAAAGATAAATCATTTCCTTACCTCATGTAGAGCAGAAAGTAAGCCTAACGCAAAATCTCACAAAGAAAAGCACTCAACACTTATTTGAAACGACTCAAGACATATTTTTAAAATCCACCACACATAGACGCAAATTCATCTGGAGTAATTCCTACGGTACTGAGATCGTAGATAACGACTTTTTTTTTTTTTTTTTACCATCCAAACATTCTTCTGCCAACACAATGCATGACTATACATTCACTAAAGAAGCTGCAGTCTCCCATTGACCTGTCACGTTAATTCTCTGCACTCCTACACTTGCACAGGGAGAAATGGGTGGGGGGTGGGTGGGGGATGGGATCGCAATCACTTGACGCTGCTTGATTCAAACCACATTGCTCATTTATTTGTATGCAGTTCAGTTTGGAATGTGTGGTAGAAACACTGCTCAGGTTTGTAAAGATTAAAAAAAAAAACGTCCACAGTGTATCTGATGCATCATAAACTAGGGTTTCGCTTTCAGTCCGTCCTTAAACAAACCACGCAAGATTTTTGATGTTGCCGGTATTTGTTGCTTTATAAAACTCACATTTACTATGGCACGGTTTTAATATGTTCCACAACACAAGTATCTGTAAAAAGTATTTGAAGATAATTTCAAGACACATGGTTTTAATCGAATGGACTTCCTGTTGTTTTAAATGATTCCACTATCTCTAACTGAATGGACTGAAATTCCTCCTCGATGATGACAAAAACAAAATCACCTGAGTAACGCTGAAAGATGCAAAGTGCAGATGATCAAGTTGCTGAAGAACCTCTCAGTATTTACATTTAGTTTGTCTTTTTTTCTTTAATGTACAATCAATCAGATGATTGTGATTTCAGTCCAACATGATGCTCCGAGCTGGTGGTTTGTCCATATTTACATGTTCCTGCCTTTCATTCATGTTAATACAACATAACATCACATGGCAATGTTTGTTTTTTTTCAGTTGGGCACAATGTAATCTGTAATCGCACCTCTCTCGTCTCTGAAGCCTCATGCTGTAAATTTTTTATATCCGCCTGCCGAGCAATGGTTTGACAAACTTCCTGATGAAACGCTCCACACATACCTGTCAAAGCATTGCTTTGTGTTCATACTATGAATTGTAAATGTTTAGTTGTCACCATTGCAAAGACCTTTTTTTTTTTTTTGCAATGTTGTTTTTCAATGCGTACTAATATATTATGGTTATTATATATGAATATATTTAATGACACAAGACATTGTGGATATTATTGTCTTTATCAACTTTTTTTTTACTTGTGGTTGTTTAGATCGTTGCCATTAAAGAAGGAAATAATAACTACTGAACACACCAACCTGGTAGAACTTAATTCGGATTTTCAGTTGAAATAAACTCTTGTTACATTGAAAAATCCTTTGCCTCTGTTGCTTTAAATGGCTGTTTATATTGATTTACTATGAATTTGACTCTAAACTAAACAGTAGTTAGCTACATCCTGTACTAAAACAATTCTGTGTAGATTTCATAATGGAAATATGTAAGTGTACTAGTGTTGAAGCTGTGTCAAAGGTCTGACTCCAGCCAAATATCATGTTACAAAACATTGTAACCCTCAGGAGTGAGCCCCGGGCATGGACACACAAACACAGGAGTCCAGGGACTTTAAAACTGGAAATGTCATTTATTAGAAATTACAAGCTGAAGTGATTTACAAGGAGGGAAAACAGCCATGTTAGTACCACAGTTAGTTTTGGCTGAGAGCTACTCTATAAACATTGTAAACTCCCAGGACAGATGATAACATTACACAGCTACAGTAATGCATGGGTAAACAGAAGTAAGTGTGAATATTGCGAAGCTTGTGGAATAACTGCACCCAGAGTGAGCGTCAGACCAGACCTGTGGGAGGTCCTGCTATTGGCTCAATATTCACCAGGATAAACATATATTTCATAATACTTCATGCCTTTAAATAATTAACTGTTTAATGAATTGTTGATTTAATGAGCCAGACAGATGGACAACTATTGAAGAGGACAATGTACACTCATGAAATATCTGCTATTACAGGGTTACAGATGGCCATTGCCCAAGCAACAACTCACTGTAGAGTCATGCTCTTCTTTTCTCACTGCCTTGATTGGGCAGTCACCAGTGACCCTGAGCAGGAATAAGAAAATAAAATCTGATGACAGACAGTGTTCAAATGGGTGTCCGGTAAATGTGTACCAGGTGTATGCAAAGTGGCATTCTGCACCAAACTGTCACTGTAGTGCTCATCCAGCAATGGTCCATGATCACCGCCGTCCTCGTCACCTACACGGGCCACACAGCGATCACTACGATGGCTATGAGAAGCAGCACGATCACCACCAGCATCCCTGGAGGAGGAAAAGAGAGGAAAAAAGAAAAGTAGATCAGTTGTGCCCACTTAAAGCTTCCCAAGATGTAACGATTGGAAATAAACAGTTCAGGCAGCTTGATATTCTATAGTTTTCTTACTGTCAACAAATCCTGTGGAAAATATCAAGATTTAAAAGAATTGAACCTACTGATGTATTGTTTGTGTATCTACTCATCTGTATAAATATCATTAAGATATGTAAATAGAGGAATCGTAGTTTATTTCGACGTGATTTTTAATAAACAGTCTCAGTCTAAATAAACCGTATTAATCCACATAGTTTCCAGTTTACCCTGTGTTACATCTGATAAAAGCTACAGCTGTCTTAGAAAATGTATTTGCCATTTAAAAATATATTTATACATTTGTGACACGTCAATGTGTTCAACAGGAATAAATAGGATTGTGGCCACAGAAAGAGAGGGGAAGTTAGAAAGTATTGAGAGACAGAAAAATGAGGAATATTTCACAACAAATCCTTTAAGTATGTGATGAACTAAATATCCTAAAAAACGTAGTGTCTTAATGCTAACTGAACGTCTGACCAACCATATCCGTACAACTGTACAGAAGAAAGTTGTGTATTTTGTGATAAACAGTATAAAATAGCTATAAAACGTGTTTCCTTTCAAGACACGAGTGACTTTAGAGAAAATACATCCGTTTTACTGCCTCAGAGGTAGAATACAGACTGGGTAATTATTTTAAGATGTAACTGAGGTCGTGTTTTCTCATAAAATGTTTTGTGTCATTTTTCTACTTGAACCCTTTGTGATAAAACCTTTGTATTCTCTGTAACTTTAACTTTGAAAATGTGAATGTCAAGCCGCCGAGGAACTCATGATTTGAGACAGACACGGAGAGGAGGAGGAGAAAGCAGCAGACACAAGGGAATATACTTAGAAGAGGTAAGAAACCTACATACCTCACAACTAATTTACAAAGTCCTTGATCTGACGCGAGTCCCAAGTGCTTATGCCCTTGCAGCATATCACCATTCTCCGCTTGATGACTTAATGCAATTTACATGCATTCGACAGCCGCAAAAGCTTTATTGCCACAGACTGCACACTGTGATAGGCATATGTTTCTGATTCCGCCTTGAGAGGATAATCATTGTTTTTCACTGATACTATGGAAGCAGAGAAAAAAATGTGCAAAAGCTCACTCACACTTCATCAAAGTGCTTTAGCCCCAGGTCCTGAAAATATTAGGGGTTTTATTGTAGTCACCACCCAGAGAAAAAAAACCCTCTTGTAAAATCTATTACAGGTGGAATTGTCATCCTTTGTGTAAAGGCTATATAAACGACAGGCCTCTGGTTATGAAGGACATTTTGACATGCTAAGAAAAGCACGGGTGTAAATAATAAAATGAACGCTGGCTGGATTCCATTTGGTTTCAGCATGCTAAATAGAACAGAGCTGTTGTTAATGTTTTTAACACCTGTGCTTTTCCAACTATGACGGGTCAAATTGTCTGCAGTGAAAAAGACAAATTACTTGGATGGTTTTTAAGCTTTTTGCCAATTATTAGTGAAAGGATAATTGATTGGATGACAGATGAATTATATTCAAATTTTAGTTAATGTTACCAACTTGGAAGTGAGTCTCGAGCCTGAGCGATAAATCACTGGGCCGGTATATTTTCCAGATGTTAACAGATGGCAGATTTGTTGTATTAGAGTGCATGTCAGCAAATACAGAGAGTAACATCATCGTGCAGCACATGAAATGCAGCAACGGTGTGTTTGTTTGCTGTAATTTAAAAACACCTACATTTCTTTACCAGTCAATTTATATTGTAACCAGATTTTTTTAACCCTCTAATATCAATATCAGCACCTTAAAGTCAAGGCTGTTTAAGCCTGACTTATGTAATGGTAATGACATTATTATAATAATAATATAATATATAAAAAACTAAATAAAACTTTATATCTATAGCACTTGTGCTTTAGAAAATACATGGCAATAAAAAACACATAAATAAACAAAACAGAAATTAAAACAAGACAACAAAATAAAATATTGAAAACAAAAATACCATTAACTGTTAAAAAACAGGCATTAAAAGGCGTTTCTATAAAAAATATGTTTCAAGCAATGATTTAAAAACAGGTTCACAGCCGGCAGATCTAATCTAGCAAGGAGTTCCAGAGCCCCGGGGTCCTGATGGCAAAAGCCCAGTCATCCTTAGTTACCAGCCTTAGTTACAGGCCTTAGTTACAGGCCTTAGTTACAGGCCTTAGTTACCTGCCTCCATTGAGGTACTACTATCAAGTGTAGGTTGGAAGATCCTAGATTATGATTTGGAGCATAACTGGGTGCCAGGATGCGCTGAGCTTTAAAAGTAATTCGATTTTTCATTATTAATATAAACATATATTTATACAGCTCAGCAGGTCAAATTCTCGATATCCCTTAAATGTCCTTAAGGACACTACTAGAGATGTGATGGTGGGTGGTTTCTATCATGCGCATCATAAACATTTCAATGCCTTTAGGATGTGGTGGTCTTTCCCTCTGTATAGTATGTATTCTATGGCGTATACCACAAACCATGCCACACACATTTGATATGGAAATCTTTCTCCAAGGACACATTCATCCACTAGATCCTTCGTTCTTCTCCCTATACAGAACGGCACAGGGGGGAAGATTTCAAACAACTGCATCTCTGGCGGGTCTGAGGCCTGTCGACAGTCCCCTCTCTGACTCAAGTTGTCCATTGTTATTTAGCATGCGGCCGGTATTTTCCCCAGCCTTTCACTTCGGGTTTACATTTCTCTCATTCTTTGGCTCTCTCTCCCCCAGTGTTCCCCTCTGCATCCTAATTGGTTGTCTTTCCCACAGGGAGAGAGACAGGGCGAGATATAAGCCATGCTGAACTAATTGCTTGCGGTGGTACTGGTGGTCTGATGAAATGTTCGGCTGATGCTGGTTTCTTTGCCAGGATATGGGGGTGTGCGGCTGTAAGGGGTCCAGATGTCTTTGCACCTCTTTGACTCAATGTGCCACTCGTCGTCATCTCTCTTGTGTTCTTAATGTATTTATGGCTGATCATATCTTTCCTATCTTAAAGTTCATTCTTTGAAGACATTATGTTTGAGCGGTAGGTGTTCATATAGGTTCATAGGACATGCATGTCAGGAGTTATCACTGGTCTCTACAGGACCTCTCCTCCTGATAACTTACACGTGAGCATAATATAAACGTCAAAGCAGAAACAGATGCAGAAATACTTTTTGTGATGGCTCTTTAAAAGCCACAGCCACAGCCACACACACACACACACACACACANCACACACACACACACACACACACACACACACACACACACACACACACACACACACACACACACACACACACATCCAGCTATCGTCTTTGTTTAGGTGAGAACGAAACTGCAGCACTGCCCCATCAACATAAAACTAATCAGAATTTAATTCAGCCTGGTCAATTACAGTCTCTGTCTGACAACACTATTCCTTCAACAGCATTAAAGGCTGAGCTGCAGAACATATGCACATTTTACCACAGCCTCTAATGTCATGTAACAGCCAGTCATGAAGCCACATAAGACCCCTGTGCTGACCCTCACCCTTCCTGTTCTCCCTGGACCGTCCCTGTCTGCCTCAGTAACTAAACAAGCTACTCCTGACCCCAGGGAGGCCTCCGGAGACTAATGACAATAATGGCGTTTGCTTGCCAAATAGATTAAGGTTCTGCTGTGACACTGATGCTGAGGGGTGAGGGGGGTGGTGGGTGGTGGGGGGTAGTCGGTGTCTGCTGACAGACTGACCACCCAGGAGCTCTGGAGGCCAGAGTCTGGGTTCATCCCATTTTAGCGATTTTCAGACACATCAGTAAGACAAATTATAGAGAGAATGAATTAATTGGTGAGAGTTCTGCAGACAGAGACAATCCCCGAGTGTCCCTCTCCACTTCCGTCATGGCCCCGCTTATGGTTCAAAGACCATTTTTGGATCACAAAAGGCAACGATGACCTCCGAAGAAAAAAAAAAGGGGTAAAAATGTTAACAAGGTTGGGATGAAGCTCATCGTTTTTCTTGCAGCAAGTGTTTTTTAGTATCAGTACATTCAAACTAGTTGTACATATTAGTACAACCGGTAAAAATATAAACATGTGTATTTCTTAATTATTGCTGATACGATAACATAACCAGAGTCAGCAGGACTCATCTTTAGGGAACAAAGTCAATCCATCTTCTGGACTTTAAGATGTTTGTTCAGATAAGTGATAAATTTGGTGGCATGAGAAGAAAAGTCAGGGGATCACCAAAGTCATGAGGATTGAGTCAGGATCCATTCCCTGGGGACCATAAACATATTGAATTCCACAGCAATCCATCCATCCAGTATTTGAGGAGATATTTCAGATCAATGGACCAAGATTTTTGTAATATTCTCAAATATCCTCTCCTCATATATTCAGCTGCTAGATGAAACCATATGCGCCATATAGTCATTTTATGGTGTGAGCACAATAACTGGGACTATACTGTTCAAAGTCTGGCAAAAACAAGGTTTTAAGAAGTGTTTCACATATTTATAGATTTCTCAAGGTATAGTTTAATATAACTTGCCACTCAATAAAAAGGAATCTAAGATGTGGAAATATCATTAGCACAACATATAACCTAAACGACCATGTGAAACATATTCAATTTCCATTTCTGGTTTCCAACAGTACACCTCGTCAGGGCAATGAAAAGAAAAAAGAAAGTGGAATCAAAGATCTCTTTATTTAACTAGACAGACATAATAAGAAAAATTTGCATTACCTTGACAACTCCCAGGTTACAATTAGAGACTCTGTGCAGCTACTTGTCGTACATGCTCTTCTTCTAACTGTCAAATGCTTCCCTTCACCCACACTCCCTGTAGATGCCTCTTCTAGTCCAAACAGTTCAAACCTACTTGAGAAGCGAGCCACCTGCGCGATCGGTGCGGTGGCTAAAGTGGCCTTCAATAAACTTAGTTCTGATGAGAAGAGCACTGATGCCTGGTAGATAATTCACACACACTCCTCAAGAGAAGCGAAGTATAATCTGCCATAATATTCCAACCAAACTAAATACCTTTACTCCTCAATTCCCACCATCGACTGCTTTAACTAGAAATGACTTGTGAATCAAGCTTATCTGATTTTATTCACAGCAGTGGACCAACACAAGAACTATGATTGAGTATAAATATATATATCATAGACTGTGTATAAAGACGGACAACACAGCTCCTCCCACTATCCAGAAATGAAGCCAAAATACCCCAGTTACCAAATGCGCCACCTTGTATAGCGTCAAAAATAACTAATTAAAACAAAACTCACCAGAAAAAAATTGCACTTGAACAAACACCAAATTGCTACGAACCCACTAAAATGATAGAAACCATTATAAAAAATCTGACCCATCCACAAACATGGAGGAGGTGGGGTTTATAACCTGTACTGCAGCAAGCCACGTGAACAAGATGCTTAGGCTTCACTTTGGGGGAGCTGTCGTGTGATCCATCTTTATATAGTCTAGTGGGGTTCCAAAGTCTAAGACCACTTTCCAACTTGGATCCCACTCTATACATGTTTGCAAAGATTTATATACTATATAAATGAATGTATATGTATGTAGAAACAGAATATGTGTAATCAGTTTACTATGATATTAAAGCCTCGAACAAAGAAGTTGTTTTTATTATTAAAAAAGGAATCATGGAATCATGAACTCAATTAAACTTGTTATTCTTTCTTCATTCTTTATAGAATCAAATATTGTTTAGAAAGTTCGTCCTTACACTGTTTGTGTTTTGCTAAATAAGTTTGGTGTTTGTTTTGCTTTCACCTTCTGCACAGTTCATCCCCACTAAAATATATACAGTACATTCATATTTTGATATTGTATGTTTGATAATGTTATTATCTTTTTTCCATTGGTATATTCTATATCTTCTGTATCTATATATATATATTGTAAAAATAAAGTAATGTGGCATTTCAACTTGGCAACTCCTTTAATGGAGGTAAATTACTGAAGTACATGTAAGAGGTATATATGTGGTACTTGAATCCAGTTTGATTCTACACAAAAGATGTTTCACAACACTACAGGCACCAGTTGAGCTCATTATGCCACAAGAACCACGTTCAAGCAATATGCGGTCCTTCTTTGGTGAGTTGACCCTTCGTGTGGCTCAAACTTCTCTTTTTCCAACAACGTATTGAGTTCTCTGTTTTTGCCTGTAACTCAAGAGTGCAGATGACTGATAATTAATATTGATAGCTTTACAGTGAGAGAGATTTTTCACATTTCTGGAAAAGTTTCCAGTTTTTAGTACAACTTTGCTCTGTAAGAACTAAGATGCCTCTTTTACAAGTTATGTGAAGTATGCTCTCGGCTGGCAAAAGCCAGACGTTCCTAACTTAACAAGGACCCGGCTAAGACATAACATCAAATGCCGGCTTTGGATGAGACGTGGTTTCAAAATAAATAAAGCCTTAAAGCTGAGGAATTGCAAACACACTGCCATGGAGAAAGAGGAAAAGCCCTCCAAACAATTTGTGGCATGTAGTATTTTCAATTCTTTCTCTGCTTGACACAAAGAAGAGTGTCAAACAACTGGGGAGACGAACAGGGGGATGACAGAGAGGAATGGAAAAAAAGAAAGAGAGCATTGAGGTGAGAGTGAAGAGGACCATAGGGGAATTTTCCATTGTGTGTGTGTGTGTGTGTGTGTGTACTGCACACGGCACACGCACACACACATACACACACACAAATATACAAATGCATGCACAAGAATATACTTTGAAAATAATGCATGAATTGAAAATTGACACATGCATTCCAAAAAACAAGCACCATGCACAGTGTTATGCACATACAGTGAAATGCATGCAGGTGCACAAAGTATCGCATGAATAGATACACACTCATGCCACATGAATATTCTTCAGCCTGGAACTGAGGTGAGGGAGGTATGTTGGCAAAAGAATTTAAACAAAAAAGACAGACAGAAAGAGGGAGTGCTGATTCTAACACAATATAAGCTCTGGGATCTTCAAACAAACTCACACTCAGGCACCATGGGGACACAACCAACAGAGGGAAGTATTCTGGGGGGCTGACCTCCCCACTGCCTGCACTGCCTCTATCCAAAACCGCCTTAAATGGGTCTCGTAGCACAACAATACAGACTTTGCCATAGCAATTTTGTCTGGCAATTCACTGGGCGAACTCAGCCTGGCTCACTCTCCTACATTCCATAGGTTGGCTTGAGCCAGCCGCCACGCCTCTCATGGCAGTCGTTTTCCTCCGAAAAGCAATACCCACTGAGAAGAAAAGAGAAGCTCGATCTTTTCATCAATAAAAAAACAAATGTTAAACAAACGGATCTGTGGTAATGGCGAGGGAGGGTCACGCATTTCCTTAAGCCTTTTAGGGACTCAACTCACGTAAATCTAAAGCTGAGACAACAGAGGATGATGACATGGGGCCTGACTTGCATCCCTCTCCAGACGTTTGAAGATTACTCAAAGGACCAGTATGAGAGATCCCATTTAAAATGCCCAGGGCAGCATGTTATCTGGCGTGAGCCAGTCCACCCACCATTCAACACCCACATGCCCTGTGCCAAAATGGCTTGTCCACATCCCCATAGAAGACCCATTCTATCTAGAGATGAAGCTAGATGCAGCAATAGCTCCCACTTTGCTGAATGTTGGCGCTATTTATGATTTCTGGATAGGAAATTATGACTTTGTATAGCTATAAATTAGATGTACCCAAATAACATAATCTAAGTGAAGCGCCATTATTTTTGTCCAACTGTGTCTCACACCAGCCAGATATTCCCCCTCTAAAAAAGCTGTAGTACCACCTGCTCTGTGACCTGCAGAATGGGAAAAAAAAACCTGATGCTTGGAAATCATATATATAAAAGAAATTCAAGGACACTGATCTGATTTGGTCCTACTTTGCTGGATGGTAAAGAAAAACAGAGAAGTCTCACCACAGGAGGCTGACTTTGTCTCCACCAGCTTCACCCTTCGTGTCTCATTACGAATCCTGTCATCTGTTTTGTCCACGAGATGAGCGACGTCATCGATGATTTCTGAGAGACAAAGAAAGAGAAAGAGAAAAGGGGGAAGAGAAGGTCAATAGAGTTAATTTCTGCTTTGTATTATGTTGTTATCTGCCATTATTAAGATTTCATTGTGTTTTTTCTCTTTCATTTTATTGCGTAAAAGACCTCCCAATATGTTTTGCGTAATAAATTACACTAAATTACAAAGTGACAGAACTTGTGCAGAACCTGACATCAGAGCAGTCAACAACTTCAAACGGCAGAGGCAGCCAACTCACAGACATGAGTGGTGGTGAAGGAGAGTGTGGGCTGTGCGAAACGCTCCTAGCCCCTTTCAAATGGTTTCACTACTTCCTGAATCCACTCTGGATTTAATCAGGTCCTCATTGTTCACGAGTTTTAAAGACGAAGGCCCAGGCTTCAGGGACTATGCCTGGGCGTCCAAAGAAAGAAAATGTGTGTTTGGTGAGTGTGTGTTTGTAATGTGTGCGTCTGGCACTGTGGCTGAGGTCCTTCTGCAGGAGTTCCTGACTTGACGGTTCTCCAGATGGAAGTCTGTGTGATTTGTTAGCACAAGCAACTGTGTTGACATGTCATCTCCAGAGGTCTGGCCCAACAACAAAAACAGATAACTGCTGAAAGATTTCCCAATTCTTGATTTATTAAGGTTAGGCATTATAAAGAGACGCTGGGTAGAGATTGTTTCAAATTTGAATTTAAGCTTGGAATCAAAGCCTACTCACAAAAGGCAAATAGCAACCAATGACTGACTCTCTCCCTGAAACAGATAAAAACGTAGATACTATTACTTATCACAGTCTGCACAAGCACATCAAGGTAGGCGTAACACAACCTTTGACAGAAAATATCTTATTTTCCTCGATTTTTTAAGGCCTTTTTTTGGAAATCAAACAGGAGTTATAGGTCCTGTCCAATTTCCTTCTCAACTGAAAAAGAAGAAACAAAACAGAATAAAGTGGCTGAACAATAAAGAAGCCATCGAAACAGAAGCCAAGGCAGAGTCAAAGGAAAGGAAACTCCTCACGGACTCTTATGAACCTCTGACAAATCAAGTTTTGCAGAGAGTGGAAAATTGATTCATCTACAAGTCGCAGCGTGATCAAGTTAAACTTGACTCTTCGTACGGGGGGTGGGGGGTACCTTTTATTGCTTCTGCTATACTGTAAAATAAAATTAAAATAAAGTTTCTTTGGGGGGGGTTCTCAATGTAATTGGTTATATGACCAGATTCGCACAGGTCGGCGATTAGGGTCATTTAAAGTTTTTGTGAGCACAACCGTCTTTGGCTCGTGTTGCCTTCCAACTGGATTGGTGGGAAAACATGTTTCCTCAACTTAGAGCCATTACTGCTTGACAAGATAATTAAGTTGCATGAATAATTCCAGAAAAGAAAGTAAAACCAGTAAGTTTGGAGGGCCAGAGAATGAGGGGGCAAGGACAAGGAGATGTGAGACGTGAGAGTGCTGTATTTACATAGACCCTGGAGACTCCCACAGCACCATCTACGCATCAGGCAACGATTTAGAAGGAAGAAACTCCTTCGCTGGCAGGGGACGGGTGTAGACACTGAACCATTTGTGCAAACTATAGTTATAAAGGATGTTTTTGGTTTCTAGGATCAGGTCTGACCCTGCATTAACATCTCAATTCATTGAGGAATTCCCAACCATGTCGAAATGCAGCAGTGCTCAACGTGAGCTTTGAGTACAGCTGCAATGAAATGCTGAATTAATTTCTTAGGAATTGTAGCCCTGCAAAGCAGCGGCTTTTCACATCAATTGTCATTAAGTCCCCTTGTTATCATGTTATATTTCTAACAATATAATTTCCAATTTCCCACTTTTGTTTTCATGTGTGACGGCTGCTGGCCCTGGCTTGGATCTGCCAGACCACAAAGAAGGGCCTGTCTCAGGCAAGAATTGTTTATTTATAATGCTATTACACTGGAAAACCCTTCAAAGCCACACAAACATTTCATTTTTCCTGTTTGCCTGTTGCATTGGGATGCATTTCAATGTGCATACTTTCTCTGTACTGCACAATGGACAATATGTGACCTCCCTTTAAATGCCAATTCACAATTCCTGATAATTTGATAATGATTAAGAATAACGTTTTCATTATTTTCATGGCAACCATTATGTTTTGGTGACTGACGTGCAATACTGAAAGAAATGTGGACATATCATGTCAAAAGCAACAATTATGTTAGGGTTAAGTAATTTAAACATCATAATAATCATACATAATGAAAATCACCAAGAAACAACTTCTGAAATGTTCGCCACCTCCATGACTTCACAAAACTGGAGGAAATTCTTAAAGAAAAAAAAAGAAACGGTTCCCGATCCAAAGACACCAACTCCTCTGTCAAACATGGCACTGGCTCTAATCCGAGTCCAACTGAGAAGAAGAGACCTAACAACAAGCAAGAGCTGAAGGAGGCTGCAGTGAAGCTCACCAGAGCATCACCAGGGAAAATACAAGGCGTCTACTGATGTCCACAAAGACTTCAGGCAGTCCTAAGAAACAATTAGCATGCAGATTACATTTTATAATTGCCGTACAACACAGTACAAAAGACTGAGATAACAGCTTTTACCAGAGTACATGATCCTGTGGTAGAATATGTATACGAAAGCAGAAAGAGACAGGGAAAACAGATCTGTACTGTGTCTCTATTACTAATGGAGCTTTTACTCAGACCAAAAACAATGTTTAGAAAACTGGCCCTTCTTTGTACTTCTGTGTTCAGGTTTCTTCTGCAAGGACCCTGGAGCGCTCACAACAATAGGAGACAGATGTTGCTCTCATATGACGTCACCCACTCATGCTGCTATCTTCCTGCGTAATCTCAGCGCCATTTCATCTCAGCTCCAATACTTTGCAGCTTTTATATAAACCCCCATTCTTTGTGACCATCCTGCTCTCTAGAGGCTGACTAGCAAAATGATCTGTTTCCATCCATGTCAGCGGAAACATAGACACCTACTATCCTAAGGATTGACTGCTGCAGTCTAGTCTGATTGATTTATTTGTTGGAAAACTGGAAAATACTGAGTTTTTAGTTTTTGTTTTAACTCATTTGCAGTTTAAGGATTCCACTCGTTCTTTGTGTAAACAGGCAGATGTAGCATCCTTGCTTCATTTCTGGGTGTTCATAGCTTGGCTTATCATCACCCTCATAGTTGGACTGAAGGTGCTACTATAGACACAATAATCCTGCCAGCTGCTGTCTCTTGGCTCAGCTCTTGTAATGCAGTTTTTTTAAGAAAGTATATTTCCCTTTTAGTTGTACCCACATTTTATGAACATACAGGAAATTTGGAAAGTAGAAGAACCAGTAAACTGAAGGCTTGATGATTCATCCATCCATTTTCTATACAGCTTTTTATAGGGGAGGCTGGGGCAAATCCCAGCAGACATTGGGTGAAAAACAATACAATAAAAGAACAAAAACGATGACTGGTCACATAATTCTAAGGCTGTGTATTGCAAGGACCTTGCAATACGATACATATCACAATACATGGGTGACAATATTATATATTATGATATGATATATTGTGACACAATACAAAACATTACATACTATATATATATATAGTAGTACATATTTTATTTAGTGAAAAATTAAAAATCCAGCTAAAAATACAACTCTCTGTATAAGATACTTCACCCCCACAGTACATGTGGAGCAGTGACTCACCTCCAACACATAGGATGGAATAAACCATTTTCAGCCTAGAGTACAATGGAGGTGCTGACCCTTGTTCCCTCCGTTTTACAGTGAGTTTGCAATGAAGGTTATGATCTGAAGAAGACCATGTAACCAGCATAACCATGTCATCTATAAAGATTAAAATCTCTTTTTTTCTATAGAAAAAAAGTCACCAACAGAATCTGGGACGAAGCACAGCCCTATGTTCACTGAGATTATGGCTTACTTCCTACAGAGGACGTCACTACAGCTGTCTTTCTTGTTATACAAGGACCAAATGACTCAGGTCGTAAGCCTTCTTCATGTCCACCCACAGACTAAATGCGCAAACTCTCAGGACCCAGACCAGACTGATCTCTGACCAGAACGGAATTTGAATTGAACCAGAGGTTTGACGGTCAGCTGGAGTCCTCTTAAAAATAGAGGCCACAACCCCAGAAAATATACTGGCTACTAATATAAATTGTGGCTAGATATTTGGAAGAAATACTCTCATCTTGCAATAAACTTGCTATTCATATCTGCCAGTTGCTACATATAGCAGGTCATGGTCATACGCAAAAATATGTAACAAGAGGTCACTGTTCATCATACTTTGCCTGAGAAAATAACTGTGACATAAAAGAAAGTGCTGTGTTCTGAGTCATCTTTGATTTACTTCAAATATTATTTAATATACCTATTGCCATCGTTATTATGGTTTATATACTATCTTGTGCTAATATCTGAATGTTTTATCCACTCCAAGTTAAATGATCTATACAGCTTTTCTGACAAGAACTCCCCCTGCAGGAGAGTGCCCTCTTCCATAAGCTCCATCCTTCATAAGAATTCATAATGATGATAATCCCCATCACTGAGCAATAAGTGAATTGTCTGATTTAATTTAGGAAACAACAAAACAAGCCATGTCCAGGGTCATTAAAGAACTGCAGAGCTGCGATACATTGTCCAGACCGACAAAGGCAAGTGGGGGACAAGGGCAATGGAAAAAAACTAATTGTCAGGTGACAGCACTGACAACAAACAGACCCAGATAGTATTTGTAAATGCACGTTGCTCATTGGGTTTTAATTATTGTTCAATAAATAGAAGAGAGTGGTGATGACAGGCATGCAAAGATACAGAGGGAAAGTAATCTAATCAGAGAGAGAAGCACAGAGCTTGTGTGTGACTGCACATTCAAGGTTGAGGTTCAAGGATTCAGAAATGAAGCATCTTGTGGGGAATTTCCTCTGGTCTCATCTTTTAGGAAGTGATTCATCCTGGATCCAGAACCATGTAG